CTGAAGCCCGCGGCATGGAGTGCTAGCGCGGTGGTCAGTCCGCCGATACCGGCCCCTGCAATGAGGATCTTTGGTTGCGTGTCGGAGTACAAGAACGGCATGTTGGGAGAAGCGGTTTGAGGGTGACAAGATCAGTGAATACAGAATCTTGAAATGCATGCGTAATGAACTATTTCAACTAAGAAGTCGGTCCTATCCCGTGTCTTTGTGGAGGGATTACGTTAGAAGAGTCCCCTACAGTACTGCCGAATTCAGCTGCCGCGGCTTGAATAAGGCCGCAGGACAATATTCACCAGCATTACTTGTCCCGTCATATTATCCGCCTCGTCAGTTTCTGGCTTTCGCGTGGTCTTCGTGTGGAGTGTGGGGAAAACCAAGGGTCTAATCTTCTAGTCGCCTATGTTCGGCCGAGATCGCTTCGTAGGTCGCTCTCGCGAGCCTTCATTAGGTTGGTAGTAGACATACTACAGGACGACTTGACTCTCTTTACAAGAGATGATTCACGTAGAACAGTGAGTTAATGGGAAGTAGCTTGACGAAGACAAGAGAAAATGATTAGCAATTTTGTACTATCTAGACAACATGGCCGCTGCGAGACTTCCGTGGTCGACATGACTTTCGACTGATCTGACACCTTGGGCCACGATCCTCGTTCATCTCACTCAACTAGGGAGCGTAATCTGCATTGTCGTCCTTGTCGTACCTGACGTATTTGACCTTGTCCATGCCATGCGTAGCACGAAGGTGGCCTGTGGAGAAACAAGAAATCAGCAAAACTCCAGTACATTTCAACGTCGACGGTACTTACAGTTCTCGGGGAATGAACAATATCCATGGTCGCGCTCAAGAGCACATTGATGACCCAGATCTGAAGCCGTAATGTTAGCATTACCGCAGATCCATGATACGACGAGGTTGAGAGTCATCGTCGCGTGAGGGTCTCTTCCACATGTGTACTTACAGCAGTCAATGTTCTCGCAGCCTTTGTTCTTGCAAGCCAAGCTACGCGTCTTGTAGCGCAAGGCATTCAGCTCAGCGGGTGTAAGCTTCGGCTCGTGTTGGAAATTGCAGAATTTGCCATTCTCGCAGTAGCCGCCAAGATGCCTGCACGGTATATTAGTCGGGTTTCAGTAGCAACAGTGAAGCACTGGAAGTTGCTTGTCGTAGTCTCAGCACTCCAAAGTGGCAGCTTACCAATGATTACACATCTTCTTGCCGACTTTCTTCATGCGTGCTTCGAGCGAAGCTGCGGCAGCAGGATCTTTCGGTGGCAGTGGCTCATCCAATCTCTGACCAGCTTTGTTGTAATAAGCGTATTTCTTCTTAGTGTTTTTCTTAGTAGCGGCCGTAGTAGGTGCGATCGAAATGCTGCCGTTTTCAGGAGCACCGGCTTTGCCAACGGTGGCTGGTCTCTTGTTAGCAATGCTTCTAACGAAATCGATACAGGATGAGTTTATTACCCCAGGAAGAGTCGCCATTCGACTCGCCAGGCGCAGCAGCTGAGACCGGGGTTACGCTGGGTGAGGGAGACGCGACGGAAGCTCTCGGAGTGAACGTAGGTGATGATGTGTTGGTGTTGTTCGTGACTGAACGTGGGAGTGGTTGCACTGGTGCCTGTACTGGCGACTGTACAGAAAATTGACCGAAGCCATTCACTGGAGGCTGGTAGTCAGGGAGGGGCTCGCTCTTGAAGACGTCGTCGAAACGAGTACGCTTGAAGTTGGCTAAATCCGCGAAGCCGCGGTAGGCAGGTGTGGTCTCCAGAAGTGTGATGCGACTGGATTTGGCGGTATCGTGTTTGAAGTGTTCGAGGTTTAGTAGGTATCCTGCGTCGTGGCAACCACCGAAGACGATGTGACGGCAGGTGGGATTGTCGCTAAAGGTACGAAGCATTTCTGCAGGGCGTCATTAGTATCAGTCAGTTTGATGAGAAGAGACGCAATACCCTTAATTTTGTGATCGGCTCTTTCTTTTCCGTGACCGACGTCGATTATACTAAATAAGGGCTGATTGACGCTGAAGCGCTGCGCAAAAGCTCGTAGATCCTGAGGCGACCGAAGAAGGCCAACCGACGCCAACTTCTGTGCGAGCTTATCGAGACTTAGATAGACCTGGACCATAATGGGCCAGCTGCCTGAGCTGTTGTACAACGAAGCAACATGGTCGCGAATTGCATGATACAGGAGGGAAGCAGCTTCTGAACCTCCATCAGCACCAGCGGCTTGGAGTAAAGCATCTTGGAACTGCATGTTCAAAATTAGCAATCATTTCTTTCGGCTGTATGTCCGTGTCGCCATGTCCTGTACATGTTGCCAACCACATGTGGGCCAGGATCGATATAAAGTCGCCACAGGGCAATAATGAACTTCAGGGACTCGCAAATACTTACGATAGCTCCATCCCCATCAATTAGTGCCAGCACAAATGAACTTGCTTCCTGTAGCCAAAGTCAGCACGCGAATTGGCAAGGCTGACATAACAGCGAGTAACGCACCAGCTGACGTGTGTAATCTCCCACCAAAGCCTGCTTCTCATCCACAGTCCTCTGATAATTCCTCCTGATATCTCTTTCACTCAAATAGTCATTCTTCAAGTTGGCGTGCTCTTCGGACAATTCGCGATACTTGGCTAGAATTTCCTATTGATTGATCAGTATTCGTCGCGCGGCCGCACACGCGACTCAGCGACACGTACTGTAACAAACTGCTCTCTGGCCTCATCAGACGCGCGAAATGATTGCATCTGATGAATGAGCCGATCGTATTCATTGTAGCTCGACATAGTGGCGAAATTGTTATGGCGAACAACAGATTGTCCAACCGTGGTTCGGTGCGGGTAGGATGAGCTGAAGGCAGCACTCCTGGGTGATGAACTTAGCGGGCGTGGAAGAGGGTCCGGGCGGGAAGTCTAGACCTGAACGGTGTAGGGCGGCCGATCACGTCTCCAGGCTATTCCTCCTGGAAGTTGCGATCTAACGGGACTGAAACCGAGACACAGATTTGGATAAGCAGAGACGCGGCGCGCCTAGAATCTCCTCAAGATTTATATCTGTGGTGTTGGTAGATTTGTAGCAAACGTTTCGTTCCTCGCAACATGGCGCAGCTCTCTTCGTGCATGAGAGCTGCTGCGGTGGGCCATTGGGGGCACAGGCGAGCGTATCGCCTTCTGCCCCCTTCTGTAACACGAAACATTATTGACAGCACACAGCCCGATGGCATGATAATGGGAGATTGTTATGGAGCTCGTATAACCATTACTGGTGCCCTCATTAATTATCAGGTAGCATTCTGTCAGCGAATACAGGAGCGAGATAGGCAATGTGAACGTTTCCAACAATCGGTATCGCACAACAAATGAGTACGGTCCATGAGCCGAAACTGTATTTCAATTGACCCACAAGTTCAGTATGTAGATCGCCTGGTAAATGTTCGCTTGTGCCTCCCTCCTGCTCAGCCGCTGCTGAACGAAGGCTGAGCTCCCCCAATTTTCGGAACCTGTTCCGAGAGCCTGCACCTAGGTAGCGAGACATCAGCAGCGACGAACAGGCCAGCTAATTGATCCTATCTCAGTGACTAAACTCGGCATTGCTGTGAAGTGACCACGACAACTTCAAGCCAGCTGGCAGGTTGACTTGCATCTGATGTGCTCGCATTGCTCAGTCTCGGCGCAATTCCGCATCTGATGTCAGCATCTACGATCTCGCAGTCCAACCACAACCCCACAATGACGCCAAACACGTTGCATAGAGCACGCCGAGCGGCAATGGCACGTCAACCTGACATGGTGCTCTCTTCCCCTCGTTATAGTGGACTGACAACGCAGCCATTGCAACCGCATGCTTCGCACCGCCTTTCGACCTCTACTCAGTCCCCATAGCTTCCTACAGCTCTCTATATACCATACCCAAAGCCCAATTGCGCTTCGACACTACATTACCGCCATGTCCGCGAACAAGAAGGCGCGCACCCAGCCTCCATATGAGTTGCTGTACTGGCCCGGTATCCCGGGACGTGGAGAGTTCATCCGCCTGGCGTTCGAAGCAGCGGGCGTCTCCTACAAGGACGTCGCCAATGAGTCGGAAGATGGTACGCACCTTGCGCTTCCATCGCATCATATACCTGTATAACTAACAACACATCCAGGCATGAAAGTCATCAGCTCCCTCACGGACCAATCGTCCACAGGCTCCGACGGCAACCCACCCACCTTCGCCCCACCCGCCCTGCGCATCCCGGGCGAGGGCAAGAACGGCGCGGCGCTGTTGATCTACCAGACACCCTCCATCCTCGCCTACCTCGGTGATAAGCTCGGCCTCGGTGGCGCAGACGAGGCAGAGAAGGCGTGGATCCTCTCACACACGCTCACGGCGCTGGACCTCAACAATGAAGCCCACGACACGCACCACCCCATCGCGGTTGCGAAATACTACGAGGATCAGAAGGACGAGTCGGTGAAGAAGGCGACAGACTTCCGCGAGAACCGCATTCCCAAGTTTCTGGGCTTCTTCGAGCGCGTGCTCAAGGGCAACGAGGCGCAGGGACAGGGCAAGTTCCTTGTTGGGAATCGTCTAAGCTATGCTGATACTACCGTTTGGCATGTGCTGAGTGGATTGGAGTTCGCATTCCCAAAGGAAATAGCAGCGAGGAAGAAGGACTACCCGACCTTGTTCGGAGCCTTCTATGATAGTGTCAAGGAGGCCAAGGGGATCAAGGAGTACCTCGGGAGCGAGAGACGGAAGCCATTCAGCATGGGTGTGTTCAGGCATTACCCTGAGCTGGACAGGCAGTAGATAGTACCATGGTCAGGGCAAAGAAGGCCATCACGAACAGTAAAAGAAATCAATTGCAAATGGTATCTTGAAGGGGTGCCTAATACAGGCTCATGTCATCTCATTCTCATTCCTTTTTGATGCCGGTACATGACGCATAACCGAAGCCCTGCCGTACTCCTGACCCATGAATATGTAACGAGATCGACCAAACCCAACGAACCGCCTAGATCTAGTAGTCGGTCTGCTGGCTCTGGGGGAACTCGAAGTTGACGCCCTTGCCAGTGAGGCGCTTGTAGACCTCGCTGTAGGTGTCGAGCCTGTAGTCAACACCGCCGCGCTCCTTCTCGTCAAGGACAACCTTGAGGATCTTGCTGCCGTCCTCGCGGGTACGGAGACGCTTGCCGACAATCTCGACGGGGTAGACGAGGTCGGTCAGGATGGCGTCGTGGACAGCGGTGAGAGTCCGGGACTGGGGACGCTTCTGGGTCTGGGTGGTGCGCGAGCGGTTGGAGCGCTTGGGGCGGGGAAGAATGCGGCGGGAAGCAACGATCAGGACGTGGCGGTCGGAGAACTTCTTCTCGAGCTCACGGGTGAGACTGAGGACCGTTAGTATGCGAATTGCATCGATTCGAGAGCACAACATACCGCTGCTGGGCCTTGTGCCATCCGGACAGAAGGGGAACAGGGACGAAGATGACAATAGCCTTGCGTCCGTGGCCAACCTCGATCTAAGAATCCTGGTGTCAGCATGATGTTGCTGCCCAGTGCCCACCGCCTCTTCAGTTATAGGGTATGGGTGTAGGTGTAGGTGTGTAGGCGACGCTCGAGAGCGCATCGTGGTGTTCGGGTTGTCATACCTCGCGAGCAGAGACGAACTGGAGAGGGCGCAGAGAAGCCTTCAGGTCGGGGACGTTGTTCTCGAGGTCAGTCAACGCCTATCACAAATGTTAGTCGTGGTCGCCAGTGTGCAATTGACGGGTGAACTTGCGCTGGCGATGCTGGTCTCGATCTCAGAGGGGTTCTGCCTCGAGGGGCTGTTGGGCGCGATCTTGTTCAGCGAGTTGGCGGACATTTTGGCGGCGTGATGTCGAGCTGGTCGGAGTCTGAAAGTTCGAGGTGCTGGTCGTGAGCTGAGAATTAGAGACGGCAGGTGTGCTTCAAGCGAGGCGCTAGTCTACTTTGGGCGACTAGCGTGAACGCTGGATCGCGGACCAACGATGCGCTTTCACTCTCGCATAGTCTTCGCATCCATCCACAAACATTCTCACATGTTTGTGGCAAACAGACAAGCTCGTTTTCTCAGCGTGGATAGAACTTAAGACGGTAGTGGTCGTCGATCGATGGAATCGCTGGAAGCAGTGCCCCTCGAAGCGAGGTACATCACCTCGATGACTCATGCACGAGACTGATAATAAAGCTACTCGTTCTACAACATTGTGTTCATTGAGTGTCTACAGCACACACGCTTCTGCAGGTAATTATATCTATCAACGAAGGCAACCTGTCCTTTTTGGAGTATATTTCAATGTTTATCTATGTATACACCAGGAAGAACGCGACGATACCAAAGACGGCTTTCGCTAAAACGGAAAGAATCTAGTCATGTTTTATGGGCATCCCTTCCCATTCGCCGTCTTTTCCCAGGCTCAGTTCTCTTCTAGCACGCTCCTGCAGTCTGCCTGCTGCACAATCTGGTCGCGTATTTCCTCCATCGCGTCCCAGCGCTTGCTCGCCTCCTTCTTACCCGTACGGGTCTTCATCATCTCTACATACTGAGAATGACGCTCGTCAACTATTTGGCAGACTCGTCGGACCGTACCAGTACCTCGCGGCTGATTTGCGCCCCCGTACACTGCACCACGTACAATTCCCAACGCACCCAGGCCATCAAGACGATCGGCATCTTGGACGATCTGGAGAGCAGGATACGCCATGCACTGCTGAGCAATGAGTTCGGGTTTGCGCAGTTCACGCGTGAAAGAAACCAGAGATGCAATGTGTGTCGCAGGGCCCCAAATGTAGGGTGGGCATTCTGGGGCAGCTTTTTTGATGAATGCTTCGATGGCGTCTCTCTGCCGCACCTGTTTGTCCTGGTCTGTCACCTCCCTCTGTAGCTCAACAGTCAATTCATCAGTCAGGTACTTGTCATCCGCGACATCGTGTACCAGAGCCGCGACGTAGATGACTAGGGGGTCGATGTTGCGGAACTCCTCGCGATGCTTCTCGGCGCTCCAGATGTGGTGCGCGTTGAGGACGACTCGCTGGATGTGCTCGTAATCGTGTGAAGGGTCATAGTCTGAGGAGTTCATCAGAGTTCTGACGGCGACGTTGAGCTTCTCAAACCAGAGCTTGTTCTTTTCGGCTATCATGGTACCGCTCATAAGCTTGTCCAGGGAAAGGAGCCGAGTGTCACGCTCATCGTTTCGACGTTGAGGAGCGCTCTTGACCGAGCTCAATAGTGACGACGAATGGGAAGAAAAGGCTTCGTCCGCGATCGCCGACAACGTCTCGGTGGCGGCCTTGGCCGGTCTTGTGGAGTTCCCGAAGCTGGAAAGCCGACGATGGATGCCCGTGAAGACGTGACCCATCTTACTGGTTCGGGGGCTATCCTCAGACATGGTGGGTGGAACGATGTTCGTGGGATTGAATTGCATAAGGTTGTTGATCTTGAGACTCGATCTCGAGCGCTGATAGGTCGTGTTGAGTTGATAGTTAATGGTAGTGGGTAGTCGATGGTGTAGTAAAGTCAGTGAGGGGCGTACCATTTTATCGAAGTGGGAGAGAGAAGTTGCCCGCGCACGAGAGAAAACAGTGTTACAGTGAGCTCTCACTCCCCTTCACGCTTGCCAGATTATGGACTAGTTCTTGTTAAGTGAATGTGGCTCTCTTGCTGTTGTGAATTGACCTGTGAAGATCTTTCCTTGTGTCAAGGCGAGCTACGTGGTCTCGAAATACGTCGACAAATCACTAATTCATTCAAGACTGCAAGACTTGCGTTAGGAGACAAAAGAGGCCCTAGCTACAGTGGACTTATGATCACTGGAGTTCGAGTTGGTTGCTACCGCCAAGTCAGGTTAATTACAATGAGCAACGAAATCTTGCCTCGACCTCAAAGCAGTAAGCGCCAAAAATGTAGGCAGAAGACGTTGGAGAACTTTCACGGTTGCATTGTACACCATTGCAGTAGGCATGTAAATTATTATTTGGTAAAGGCAAAATGCTAACATCGTGCAGGCAAGGAATTACGAGTAAACAAGGAAAACAAAAGCAGAACAACTCCTCGCTCGCTGGGATATCGACATTAGTTCATAAAAGGAGGGAGTTTCGAGCAAAGTTGCTAGCAAATCATCCTGATACTGTTTCGGACAGTCCAACCCAAGCACATCGCCAAACAGCAGCATCTCGCTCATGCAAGCTATTCTCGTCTAGCAAAAGTATGGTACTGATCGATCAATCGTCGGAGGTAAGGCAATCGCATTTAGACGTGCGAGCCACGACTGCGTTCCCGTTAGCTCAATCCCCACAGAACACTAGCACAGAACTTACGCAGCAGCCTTGCGGTTAAGACGGTGCACCGTCAAGATACCAAGCACTCCAGTCGCGAACCAAAGGATCATAGACAAGAACGAGAACGCCTGAGCAGCCTGCCATTGACCACAAGAGTTGTCGCGACGGAAAGATACACCGCCCCATGCCCATGCGCTACCACAGCCAGAGCCGTTGAACCAGCTGACGAGGAGTCCGAAGACGGCAGCCCAGCCGGCGGTGAAGACTAGACAGGACTTGTTAGCAGATGAATGGGTTGTGGTAATAGAGTTGAGAGGACTTACTGAAGTCGGATGTGTAGCCAGTGATGCTAGAGCTTGTGGGGATGGCCCAGATGACGGCGAAGAGAATAGAGAGGGATGACCAGATCACGGAGAAGATCAATCGGCCTAGAGGCCCCTGGTCGTATCGAGAACGTTGGTAGAGGAAGTACGCTGTGAGACCGAGGACGATGGCTGCGAAGACCCACTGCGCCGTGCGCAAGATGATTGAAAGAAGGCGTGTGAAGAGCATGTTGGCGCTAAGTGCGGGTATCGGAAGTAGCTGTCAAGATATCAAGTGTGAAGCTGATAAAAAGCAGTACTCAGAATGTTATGAAGCTGTGGATGTGGAATGTATTGACTTCAAGCTGCCAGTATATATACACCCGGCACCTACGACTGTGCCTTGCTTGGTCAAGAGACATGACAGCAAACGTCAGCCACGACCATTGCGTAGCTAGCCTTGGCATCCAAGAACATCCACGGTCACACTCCTGGGGTTTGGTTCCCCTGGGCCTCGTCAGTCACGCATGTTTCTTGTCTCCAAAGACAGTGTGGCTAGTGCTGTGCAGGCCGCATAGCCGTGCAGATCACTGGTTTCTTAGCGCATTCGCTTGGGTATGAGATCATCAATCCCTGCCAGGACGCGTGGCGCAAACAAGTGGCGCAGCAATTTCCACACGGTGGACTATGAAAGGCAGGAACGTCGCATAGTGATTGCCGATATCCGTAATGTTCTGGTATTTTGTCGACTGCTGGAGGTCTGCCCAGTTGGATCGGTGATGATGATGATGCGTTGGCCTGAGCGCGTTGGAGCGACAGCAGGTTTCTTCGAACGCGCAAAGGACCGACCTGGATGAATGGCTTTGACGTGCGACGTGGCTATGTGCTTTTTGGGGGTCGATTTTGCAGCAGTCACTCCTACCTTGCGGGCTACATCGTGAAGGCCCGAACCACACAACGCCAAGTCTTCTCCGCAGCAGCAACGTAATCATCCGCTATCTCGGGAACAGCCGTGTACTTAAAGCCAGTCACCGCTTTGTTTGCAAGGCCAGAACAAAGGATATCCTGGAAATTGAGTAGTCTCTCGCGTCGTTGTCCTTCGCCTAGTGGGCCGTTGTGTAGGGCTGCGCTGGCACCAAGCCACCAAATTACGTAGGGCGTGTGCATCGTCTCTCGAAGAGTCTCTAGTTTGATAGCGTTCTTACCATGGGGTAGAATTGTAAACCCTGTGTTTCTGGTATGCTTCACAAAGACGTTCGACGTCCATATTCTTGTTGAGAATGGACGCTTACTGGAAAGTAGTCGTTCGTCGCATTCATTTGAAACTGCGTCACACCGGAACTCCGTCGGTGCGCATATGAGGACGCGGTACCAAATGCTGAGAAGCACGATGAACGTTCTTTCCTGGTCCAGGAGGAAGATTGGTTTCTTGCGATGCTGAACCAGAATCAGTACAGTGAGATGGATACCTAGGTATTTGGTTAGTGCAACTCCGACATCTCCTTACCAAAGCGAGTACGTGTTGGCATCGTGCGCCGTTCTATGTCCGAGTTCGTAAGCTGAGTTCATACAACACCGATGAGTTTTACTTCTTCGCTTTTCACTGAATGTCGATGGAGGATTCGTAATCCACATGTGACATCCCAATGCAGTAGTTTCCTGGCCCCAAAATAACCCAAATCCGCTCTTCATCTGACTTAATTCTTCCCAAATACCCTCAGATAGGCAAAATGGCTTCAGCTGACATCTGTCCCAAAATACATCCGTGCTACTGCAGGTCCAGCCAATGAGCTAGCTCGGCTCGACAGCTACGCGGAAATACCTAATCGGGTGAATGCGCTGACATGACGGCTCAGTCAGCCCTACAAGCGGTTGTCGCGCTTGTTTGAAGAGTGCAGGAGTGCAAGATCGGTATGGTTTAAAGTACTATTTTTGGGGGGCTGTGTAGGCGGAAGCGAATCTGCAGATATTCTTGTATTCAAGAGTCAAGCCGAGTAGACATGTTGCGAGGTGGGCGCGTAGAGCTTCGTGTCGGCGATGTATGCGTCTTCATGTGAGAGAGGAAAATCGGCGATGTGTGCAATGTTGTTGCGAGTGTGTTGTATAGCCCTCTGTCGCCAATACTGCCAGTGCCGTCCTCCGATGTAACCTCATATGTTTCCGAGGCGTATGTTTCCGAGGCGTCCGCCAATCGTCTGGCTCGTTAACCGATAGCGATAAAGCACGCGTGCTGTACGATCGAGTATGCCTGCCATTCAGCCTT